CTGGACTTACCGGCTGGGACATCATCACTGCTTTGTCTCTGTTTCTTTTCAGGTAAGTTTGCAGCCATGGCTCCTCTCCGAGTCCTGGGGTTGATCCCCCTTCATGGAGGTCTCTTTCCACTCCCCACCCTTCTCTCTTGTTCTTCTTTCCTGGAGATCGATGCCAATTGCTTTGTTGGCACCCCTTAAATCTCCCACACCAGCTAGCTGGGCCTGCTGTGGCAGTGTGCGATTTGCTGCTTCCGTGGCTTTTCCAGCTGATTCTCTTTAGGGTCTCCGGTGCAGCTTTGCTCTTGCCCGAGCTGGCTGCACCTCTTTCCTCCATCTTCATTCATCCCAGAACAGCTGGGTTCGCCACAGCAGCCTTTGATCTGCCGCGGTCCCAGCTTCCCCAGCTGATTCTCCTGATCAGCCCAGGCACGGCATCTCTCCCACCCAGGCTTGCCGCATCTTATCCCTTCTTTGGGTTTGCCCCCGGTAAGTTTCTCTTTACTTCTCCTTGCATCCTTGTGACAGGGCATGTTAGCCACCCTGTCACAGGGAGGCTTAATGGAATATCAAATCCAGTTGTAATTTGGTAACGTCTCTATATCTCCATATTTTGTAGCCAACTTCTGTAGCAACATAGGTGCATAAAGGGATGGTCAGCAGGGGTCACTACAGGTCCAATCTACAGCCTACTGAAGACAGTGCAAAGACTTGCTTTGTTTTAAACCAGGCCTTGGAATAGCAGCATTCTAACCTCAATACCTGCAGGCTTTCAATTCATGGTTTCCATCACTTTTGGAGAAGGAAGTGATGGGAGCCAAATCTCCTTTCCAGCAAAGCCACTGACAAACTGTATTAGATTCAAAGGGAACAAGTGGATTCCAGAGTTCAGGAGATGTAGGGACAGGCCCATCTGAGCAACGTGGGTAGCTTACCATCTGGACACATTGGACTAAGTGTCAAATGGAGGACAGAGTGTAGAATTACACACTAGAAGTATAATTTAAGGGGACCCAGAATAAAACCCAAAGTTTTTCATGATAGATTGCACTTGAAGAAAAGTCTAGTTTTCTCTTTCTGGCTGTTATGAACTAGCACAATGCTTCAGTTAATTCCGAGAAATATTTGGGACCAAACTACCTGATAGTTCAGTTTTATCTAGATGAGCAAGCTGGCAGGATGGCTTTCACTGGAGATAAAAGCATAGACAGAGCAGTGGGATTGCAGCACTGCTTGACACATCACTGTCCTGCTAAGCGACAGTTAGAAAGAAGTATACAAGGGAAATAACTACACTCAATTTAGTGTTAGCTTTTCTTTATAAATATTTTCTGTACCTTTTATAAATCAAGACATACAATTTGTGGCCTATTTACTTGTTTTTGTTTTATTTAGGGTCGTGTGGAAAGATGCTTCCAGGTCAAACAAGAGCCCTACAGCAAGTATGTGTTGTAAGAATTTCATAGGATATTCAGTAAAAAAAAAATTACAGCAGAATGTAAGTATTTCAATTAATTAACTGACTCAGTTGCTGATTAAGTCTTTGAATTTTTGGTTTCTTGGCTAAATTGAATGTAAATGTATGTATGAGCAACAGTGTCTCCCCACCCCAAATCTTTGAATATAGAATTAACTTCCTGAGAATTTACAAGTATATTTATATCAGAAATAGGAATGTTTATTTTGCCTGGGAATATAGAGATGGAACTAGACCACAAAGTTGGATCCAAATTCAATATGACCTAGCCTAAGCTGGAGATTTTAGTTTTTCCAGCAGCAAAAGTTGTGATCTAGATGTGAATAGCCAGAAAGTTGAGGGATGTTCTTAACCAGGTCTTGCGTTTAGGATCTTTTTTTAAAAAATCTGTGAGCCTAAGAAAATCTCTCTCTTGTTCTTGGATATTTTCCAGAAAAGCAACCTTGCACAGGCATTAGAAGTCATAGTTTGGTTTGGATTTTTTCAGTAGTTTACAAGTCTGAGAGTAGTGTGGAGAAGTTATTCTAATCTAAACCCTGGAATTCTGTGGAAAGAAATCACATGACGCAGTTAATGTGATTAGACGGTATGCTTCTCTGCCGGTCCTCAGAGTAGTAGTGTGCAGGGAGGCAGTTAGGAGGAAGATAGTGGCAGTAGTTCATCCAACCTCACTGTAGATGTTCACCATGGGAGAGTTTCAACATCAGCTGCTCACTCTCTTTGGGGGCCTAATTTGTCTGTGTGCACTTTTGAAAAGCGTTAGATTTTTGAAGTATTTTTTCCCGCGTGTATGGAGCGCTTTGCCTCAGTCTTTCTTTCGCTCAATGGGAGAATGGGCAGGTAATAGAAGTTTTCTCACATTTTTATTGTTATAACCAAATGATGACTTGTTGCTTTATTAATCATAAGAACTATTCCCCATTCCTTATGAACAAAACTGTCAGAGTTCATCACAGTTTTTGTTTGTAAATGATTTTATTCCTATGAGCCAGAAAATTCCATTTTCTGCAGAATACGAAAAAATAATCCAAATTATTTTAAAATATACACTATATATGTGTGTGTGTGTGTGTGTGTGTGTGTGTGTGTGTGTGTGTGTGTGTGTATACATTTTATATAGGCATTTTAATTTCCTCCTCATGCCCAGTTCAATTTTTTTAAGTGTTTTAATTTTAATAGCTGTTTCTTCTCTGTTTCCTGATTTATGAAGCAACTAATTTATGTGTAATATATAGTCTCTTTATTTTCTATATCCCTGGTAATTTTGTTCCAGTGGTTACCTGGCTTTAATAATACCACTACCATCTGTATCTACAACAGACTAAAACTCTGGAGACCTGTCACTTTGCTGCTCTTTTTTTTTAAAGGTTACAAGTTCTCCTAAAATAGTGTAAGTCTTTAAAAATGAAACATTTTCTTCCTACCAAAATGTTGAATTTTTTTGTTTCAGTTGTTAAACTTCTAATATGAAGTATGTTTGAGAAGAGTTTTGCAGTTTCTGCATTTGTCTTTTGCCAGTGGTAGAGATAAGGCCACCCCACTATCTAGGTAAAATTCCAATTTTAGTATAGGATTTTTGGGTGATATCTTCTATTGGACTGACTATGTAGTTGGGGTGAAGTTAGACAAGCCTTTGAATGCAAGACATCCTTCCCCAGGTCTCTGATCACAGAGAACACTCTCCCTCACCCCAACCCCCCAGATTATAGGCATAAGCTTCAGCTCCCATGGTTTTTGAGGAAGTAAAACACATGGCAGTATGTCATATTTTACTAGTGAAATTTTCCCCCTTCTTGAGGAGTTAGCACAATGGTCAGGCACCATTGAAAGAGCATGTAAGCCCTATTTTGAGGATCTGAAGGCATGGGCTTTGGGGTGACCAGGTAGTTTTCTGGTGAAAGCCTGCTTCCATTGACATTAATAGTGTTTGCCATTAACCTCAATGGAAAAGTTATTCTCTCTTTCCTTTATGAACTTTCAAGTCTGCTGGTCTCAGTGAAATTGTTGAGTTTATTTTAACAATTCATTACCTCATATAAAATGAGGAATTTTTCAGGTGCTGCTTTTTTCCAAATAGGTTATTGCTTTCTAACTGCCAGGCTACTGAAAAGTTTATCAAACCACTTCTTGCTTTGTTGAAGCATTCTGGATTGCTTATGAAATAGGAGAGTAACGTGTGTGTATAGTAATAACTATTCTAGGCCTTAAAATGTTTTAAAATTATGTTGTTTCCCTGGTTTTCCACATCATTTAGATTGTTCAAATCCACATTTCTCAGAGACTCATGTAAAACAAAATCCTTTTATGTTATCATTTCTCTTTCCATCCTATTCACTATGTCAGCTTGGTAGGGCTATGCTGGAATTGTTCAGGTTGATCCCAATGATAAATTTGCTTTCACGGTTCTCTGCATTCTGCTTGGGGTCTTGGCATGTATTTTATCTTATCTAAAATGAAGATACTGTATATTAAGGGTCTGGTGGGATAGAAAGTCAAAGAAATGCAACTGGTATAGTGGAGATGGGTTTACAAAAGCAATGGGGAAGAAGGAGCTGAGGAGAAAGAGAGGCAAAAATGTGGGGCAGGGTGAAAGGGAGAGCAGGGAGGGCACAGGGGGATGTGGTAGCAAACAAAGGATGATCCCTGGCAACAACAGCTCCCTAATGGACAACTGGAACTCTACTAACTGGAGACGAGGGCAGTGATTCTTGCTCGTGCGACTTGCAGGCCACCTAGAGGTTTCCTCTTGGTTGGTCTTAGGAATGCAAAGTGGGGAAGAGGCCAAGGCCTTTCACACAGTGTAGCTCCTGTCTTGTCCATGGGGGAGAAAGGAAGGCTGTTAGGTCCAGATTCATTCATTCATTGTACTTTTTGTTGTTTCCTGGTGTGAGGGAGGAACTCTGGGAGCTGGGTAAATTTGATGTGAAACCAACATTTTCAGGAGAGAGAATTGTCATCACTTTACATTGTGTTATACAGCCACCTGCCTCTGTGCCTTTGAAAACCTATTCTTGAGGTAGCTAAAGTAGAATATTTTGCCTACTTTTTTCTTCAGAAAAAATTAGTAGTTTATCTAATTTGATATGTGCACTTCATCGCGGGTCAACATTAGGTGGTTCAGAGAAAATGCAAAGCTACCATAACGGGCAGGTAAGCAAAAAATATCTGTCTATGTAAGAAATTCCTCCTTAATCGTAGACAATTTGGTAGTTGGCTCAGCTCGGACTTGGTTTCCTCTTCTAAAATGGAGGTAATATACAGCATCTGTTATTAAGATTAATTCATCTGTTATTAAGATTAATTAGTATTGTTTAAATGCTTTGAAGATGAAAGGTGCAATAGGAAGTGATAAGTAGAATTTCTAGACGAAAAAGTCACGATGGAATGAATGAAATGTCTAGAACGAAACAACGTTGTTACAGAATGTTTTCCTCGCACTTGAAGGGGAATGCTAAGTCAAAAATTTCTGTATGCTAGATTTAGTCATTGGTTATAGATTCCTTGGAGGACTAAAGCTTACAGCTTACACCTTTACTGCAGTGATTTAAGCCCAAATTGTTAGCATGCTGGTGTGCAGGGAATGCTGAAGAACGAAAAGAAAAACAAGATAAGAGAAGGTTAGAAATTTAATTGCGTTTTTTTCTTTTAACAGTAATCACAGGAGCAGGAGACGGAATAGGAAAAGCATATTGCTTTGAGGTAAGGTAAGGGCATAAAGATTAATGGATGGGAAATTGCTAGCCTTCTGACCATATACTGCATGTTAGTGAAATCTTCCTATAGATAGATCTTGCACTAAGGATCTCATCTTCTTGAGTATACATGCATAACTCATTTTAACCCTCATCACCTTGCAAACAGAAGTGGGCATGCCATTTCAAAATTAAAAAAATGACATGAAATATTTGTTCATGTCCCAATACTTCCATAATGCCAAGCAATCTCAGAAAAATACTGAGCAATAATAAAATGTTGTATCTTCTCTAACATACAGAATATGATGACAGTATAGTCTAATGCAGTGCAGTCTAATGCAGTGATGATCAACTTTTTGGCAGATGAGTGGGGAGGGGCCAGTCCATGGGATGGCTCAAGTTCTGCATGTCAGGATCAGACCCTGGGGCCCTGCACGGCTCCCTCCCTGCCCTGAAAGCCAGGACTGGGCCCTACGGGTTGGCACTACCCTCTCCTGCCCCAGCACACTAGGATTGGGTCCTGGGCCTGACGCTGCCCCCTCCCACCCCTGCAAGCTGGGATTGGGTCTGAGGGCCTAACACTGCCCCTTCCCATCCCAACACACCAGGATTGGGTCCTGGGGGCTGGCACCACTTCCTCCTGGCCTTCCATGTCACCAGTCTCCCCCCACCAGATTTTGGGACCTGTGGGAAGTCCAGATGACATGGGGGCACAGCTTAGAACTGACCCGCAAACTGGGGATTGAGCACCCCATGTCTAATGGACATGGTGTGAGAGAGTCATTTTTCTCTGGATTCTGTTCCCTGCTCTAAAACTGACCTACTTTGTGGTTTGAACAAGTCACTTAGGGCTCCTATACAAATGCAGGGAGGCTTCTCTGACACACTGTAATTACAGCACGTCAGAGTACTCAATTAATCGAGTCTGTTGGAGCGTGGTAATTACTGTGCTTGTGTATTAGTGTCCCCACACTGAAAAATGGCAGTGGGGGCACTTCAACTAAAGCTTGTTTGATGATTAAAGCTCACTTCTATTTTTCAGTGCAGGGATGCTAATACATGTGATGCTTCAAGTGCTTTAATTAGCATGGCTCTTGGAAATGTGCTAATTAAAGCCCCCATTCCCCCACCACACACACTTCCCAGAGCACATCTATAAATGCCCTTAGAGTAAATGTCTCAGACACAATTACCTCTCATTGAATTCACAAGCCTGAAAATGTTGGCCTTAATCTTTCTGTCTCAATTTTCCCTGTTTTACAGTTAGGCTAACAATATCCACCTCCCTCCCAGGGATGAATAGTTAATTGTATTGCCAAATCATTATTTTATTGAAAGTGTCATGATAGAGTGTGTTTCATTGAAATCCCAGCTCCTGGAAACAAATAATTATAGGAAGAAGCCTCTTTTTTATTTAAAAATAGTAATTTTCTAGCCCTCCTGGTTCCAAAGAAAATAATGGAAAAAGCTGATACGGGTATCAATTGATTAAAAAAAAAAATGATAGGAAATAATGAATGACAGTCAACATGGTTGTATAGAAAATAGGTCCTCTTAAATTTAATTCTATGAGATTGCAATTTTGGCTAATACAGGTAAGTGTAGGTATAGTAATTTTTTGGAAGATATCTGACTTAGTATTACATGACATTCTAATTACAAATTAGCACTATGTTCTACCCACAAAGCACAGTGGTTTAAGAACTGGCTAGCTGATGGATCTTAAAGAGTACAGGCAATCCTCGACTTACAACGTTGCAGTTACAACGTTTCGCACTTACAACATTTATAATTTGACACCCTGTTTCAACTTTATGACTTTACAACGCTTGATCCAATGTGATGCCATGCCAACAAACAAGTTCGCTGCGTCACCCATCATCCTGGAGAACATCTGTCCAAACTTCCTTGGACACTTTCTTTAAGAAAGCAGACAGGACTCCAGAAAAACCTGCAGCCAAGACTTCTGAGAAGACTCCAGCCAAGAACCCTTCAACAAGTCCAACCAAGAGCTCTTCAAAAAGTCCCGCAAAGCCACCTCAAAGAAGTCCTTCCAAATCAATATGATTGCTATTTACAATATAAATACATAATGTAGCTATATTACTCATCTATAATTGATCGAATACAAAATTCTGGGGTATTTTTGGTGAAAATAGGGTGTTGGGCCTTGGTTCAGGAACCAGGCCCCCATTTATAACATTGTTTCTTATGAGAAAATTGGTTCCGAGTTACAATGTTTCGACTTAAGATGTGGTTTCCAGGAACCAATTGTGTCCTAAGTCCAAGTACTGCCTGTAATTGTCAGTTGTAGGGACTGTTTTTGAATGAGGGTGTTTCTAGAAAAGTTCCATGGGGACTGGTACCATGGCTAAAGCCATCCAACCTTTACATCAGTGATAGGAAGTAGATATAAACAACTTTTGATAATATTTGCACGTCATAAAGTCTGGTGGAATTGTGAATGATGAGGACAGGAAAGCTGTACAGAGCAGCCAGGACTGTTTGTTACACAGACCCATTCAAACAACATGCATTCTGGTATCTGCATTTTTTTAAAGTTCTGAAAAATTGCAAAGGCTGCAGAAAAGAGACCAAAATTATCCAGAGGCTGGAGAAAATACCTGATAGTGAGTGACCTTAATCTGTTTAGTTTTGCAAGAAGAAAACTGAGAAGTAGTTTCATATGGTGATATTTGCTGGCCAATAAAGAGCTCGTTGAGCTAGCAGAACGAGACATGAGATTTTGGAACCAATAGCTGAGACCACAGCTGGAGTACTGTGTCCAGTTCTGGGCTCCGCAATTCAGAAAGGATGTGGAAAAGCTCGAGTGAGTCCATGCAAATGAGTAGAGGACAAGAGGCCTTATGGAGAGAGTCTGAGACACACACGACTCCTCAGCCTGGAAAAGCATAGGCTCAGGGGTGACTTGGTGGCAGCCTATAAATACGTAAGGGGTGTGGATCAGGAACTGGGAGGAGGGCTGTTCCCCAGGGCACCCCATGGGATGACAAGGTCCAACGGTCATAAACTCCTGTAAGACCGTTTTAGGCTGGACAAAAGGAAAACACTTCTTTACTGTCCGAGTCCCCAGGACCTGGAATAGACACCCCCCCCCCCCCCCAAGGGGGGGGGAA